TATATATATATACAGTATATGTATATATATATACAGTATATGTATATATACATATATGTTCTGCTGATGGACTGGAGTGTTCCACTTTAAAGCTTATTGCACATTGCTTCAGTTGTGATTGATTCCTTCACCCTCACGGACCGACTATTGTGTCCTTCCAGGAGCAGCATGCTGTTGAAGTCCGCAAGAACAAGGAGCAGCGAGAGGAAATGTCCGGATAAACGCTGCCACTGCCGCAAACCTTCCAAGTCGTCTCCTGGAAACAGCAAAGGAAACTGTTTTACGTACATGTCATCTGTCACTCCATCACACAGCCCCTGCTCCCATCCTCCCTTCCTACCTGTCACCTACATGGCCCCGCTGCCCCGGGGTAATGACCTCCATACGATAACGCCATCTGGATCGCACGACCGCAGAATCTCCCAGAGGAGAACGCCCCTTGCATATCTTATTTTTAAACCATATAAAATACGATGGTTCGACCACCCGGCGTCTCTTGTCTTTTGTGTCTCCTTTCCTTGTAGCTTGCATCTTTTGAAGCCAGGGAAAAGTAAAGCAGTAAGACAAAAACAGGTTTTGCTGCTGTCTAGATTAGTGTCAAAATGTAATATTAAGCTCACTGTATATAGAATTATTCACAGAATCCAACCTATTTAATACCATGCAACATTCAGCTAAAGGGGCATAGTGAGCTTGTGGCCAGGCTAAGTACAGTCAAGTATATACACAGGGCCGGTGCTGCCACTAGGCAAACTAGGCAACCACCTAGGGCGCATTTCTGCCTAGGGCACATTTCTGCCTAGGGCGCAGCCTCAACCTCTTACCCTCCCACGGTGCCCCCCGTTTCAAATTGAAAAAGCCAATAGCAGGCTGGCTATTGCACCCGCCCACTGAGCAGAGGAGCTATACTAAGAGACAACTTTCTCAGGTCCGCTCCTCTGCTCAGTTGCTGGTGTTTCAATAGCCAGTCTGCTATTGGCTATTTCAAATGAAAATAGCCAATAGCAGTCTGTCTATTGTCCTGGCTGCTTACATCCATCTATCGCCTGTGGAAGCTAGCTGGAAGGAGAAGGGGGGGGGGGCTGCGCCGCTGGAGGGGGGTTGGTTCTTGCCTAGGGTGTAAAATAGACTAGCACCGGCCCTGTATATACATATTCTTACAGAGCAGTAAATGAGCTTCAAAATGAGCCCTCACCAACCTCTGTAGCTGCTGGCTGTGTAGAGGAATTAATCCTCAAAATGTACAACAGTAGTACTGAAGACTTTCAAGTCTTTCTATCAGTAACTCCCTCCTCCCAGCAAGGACTTGGTGACTTTTCAGCTTTCTAATATCTCATTTAAACATAGAGAAGGGGTTCTAGGAGGGGTGAGCTGAGTCACTGCTGGGAAGGGGGAACAGGGGGAGCTGAGCTGCCTAGTCATCTCCATTAATGCATAATGTTCTGGTGCGCTAAAGACATAGTCCACCTTTCATATACCTTGTTTCATGTTGCACCCATATTTATGATGTAACATGGTTGCATTCCCCACCCTCAAACCACTACCCCCCAACTACCTGAATTGCAGGGGGCTTCTCTCTGCAGACATCTATTTTGTTTTGCATTTGGCGCAGCTGTGCGGGCGCATCCTGCACAGCAGTGTCCTCTATTTGCAGGGATCTGCGAAAAGGAAGACTACAAGCTGCATCTGCCACCACGGCAGAGGGACTCAGAGATTGCACCAGCAGCAGGGTGATGACATCATGACGCTTGTATTTCATGATTTGCTTCCATAAGCCTCATATCAGCAGGATTTACCTCCCTACAGTCCTGGGGCTGAAGGTAGACAATGCAAGAATTGCATCAATTATTCCCGGGGATCTGTAAAGGGAAGACTATTAGTTCCATCTACCTCAACAGCGGATAGATTCACAGATCACATCAGCGACAAAGAGGTGACATCACCGCCCTTGTAGTCCATGATTTGCTTTCTCCAGCCCTGTAGCAGAAGGATCTACCTCCCTACTGTCCTGAGGCTGGAGGTAAATAAGTCCCATGAGGCATTGCAAGACTCTGACAGCCACAGGCATAACTCCAAGAGGCATGATGTGATTTGTAATTTCACCACAGCTGGAGTGTCGAGGTTGCCTACCCCTGTGTTAGATCGCCAACATTTGCCAATACACAAGCAGAGTGAAGGTCTACCTGCCGGGAAATAATATAACGGAGTGTTTAGGTAAGCACTTCTTTGCAAAGGTTATTGATCTCATAGATCAAAATCACATGATAGCAATATTTAAGTCCAAGGACAACTTAAGTCACATGATTTACGGTTTCCAGGAGCAATGTGGGTGCTTTGTTTATCAATCAGACATACCGCATACTGTAGACCCGCAAAGGCACAAGAATATCTCTAAGGTGCAATCATTATCCAGCACTGTGAAACAGATGGTACATATGGAATGACAAATATGGCTGCCCCATGTCCATATATTATTTCAAAACTGGAATAGGGCTTGTCATGCAAATACACAGATCGATAAGGACATTACTAAATCTGATGCATTTCACATGTATATAGAAACGGCTCCAGCTCACCTTTTAAAATGTATGCAGCTATCTGTTGCTTGCTTGCCTTCTTTCTCACATTCACACTAAAAATAAATACATCAATAAATATATTTTTGTATGTATATATAAATTATATATATATATATATTTCCTGGCTCACCTCATGTCAGCATACCAATGGGTTAACCCCGCCCTCGGACACCCATAGGACCACCCCTAACCAGTGTATAAATCTGGTTAGGGGCCGCAGTTGCCGCGCGGCCCCATTGGTTTCAATGGGGTTACATCCGCGTGGCAATCGCTGAAAAAAGGTACATGTACCTTTTTTTGCGACACACGACGTGCTGCTTTTTTAGTGTTTGATTGCATGGGCGGAATCGAGCGGGAAGCCACACGATCAGTCCAACGCAACAGGGGTGTCATTAGAAAATAATGGCACTGCCAGCACGATTGGCGGTGGTGGGCGACTCCCTGACTGCACGGCAATCAGCGCGGTTTGGTGCACGATTGCTGCGCAGTCATGGATCGCCCAGGTGTGAACCTTGCCTGATGTGCACGGCGCCATCCGTATCCATCACTACGAGAACCACTGTTACTAAAGGCCCTGACCGCTGTCAGGAATGCAAGGGACACATCTGAACACTCCGTGTATCTCCAATCTTATATTGTTATAATAGTGCAGCCTTACCACTCAGGAATAGACGGGTGTGCTGTTATTCACCTTTATTCTCTCAGTGTCACAGCAGACATGTCAGCCTAGTGTCAGGGCGTAAAGCCCCCACATAGGGTGTGTTATCCGCTGCCTGTCCAACGTATAACCGACTGCACTCCTAACCGGTATACCCTTTGAGGATGGTTGCCGAAATGACTGCGGATGGCGCCACCGTGATCAATGAAGACAGAAGACATCAAGAAATGCGTCCAAACAAAACCTGACATTGTCACAAGGATGGCAACGTTCTCGGAGCCACAGGGTGTCCCTTCATCAGGCTCAATAGTCCCCTGCCTGAGCTCCATAGTACACTGTCCTGGCTCCTAGAGATGGGTAAAGCTCTAATTAACAAAGCCTTTTATTTTATTTTTTTTATTTCATTCCGAGAGCATTTTTGTTTCATGGCAGTTGAGTGAATGTTATCAGCACTTGGCTCAGACAGTCGACAGGGTGGAGGGGCAGTCAGATAATTTTTCTATAACGGGGAGAGAATACAAGAAGGTAATTTATAAATCCAGCAATCCTTTAGAGACAAGACTGCACTATGCTAACTCCCCTCTTAGCATAGTGCATAAGATTGAAACAGATGCTTATTGATGAGCCCTGTAAAGTGTTTGTTTTTTTTCGTTTTGCGTCTTTGTCCCTTTAATTTCACTTCCTGTTTTGAGACACAACAGGAAGTAAAAGGACATCTCTTCAAAGTAAGGAAAATCCTCTCTTAGGAAGTTGTTAGCAGAACTAAGTCCGCTATTCCTGTTCTGGTGGTTAAAATTTTGGATATTCTATCCAGTCGCAATGACAATAGTCTCCAAATATATGAACAGGTTCTCTTTAAAAGTTGGGGGCGGTAACCGGTGCCTGAAATAACCCTCCAACCGCTGCATGCACCAAGCTGCCTACAGACATCATACGGCGGCCACCGATACATACACGGTGCTGCCATTAATATTTCATATGTAAGATCACTCAAAACCATGGACCGTGGCTTCAGGCGAACATTCATATTTTGCTGATGGCTTATGGAGGTGGAAACACTCGAGTTGTTCCTTTATTGGTGTGGGGGGGGATGCACGCATTTAGCCAGGAAAAATTATCTCAGATAATAAATTGCTTCTTTCCTGAACACGCTCAGTTATTGCAGGGGATGCAAGAGCAACTTCCTCTAATCATAGGAAGTGAGTGTGGAGAATCCAGGGTTGGGGGGAGGGAGAGTAAATGAAGAAAAAGGGAGATGATGGAGAGCAAGAAACAGAAAAAGAGAGGTGAAGATTGAGTGAGATAAAAAAAGAGAAAGTGGAGGGGGAGAGAGAGGGCAAGAGATGGATGGAGAGAGAGGGGGACAGAAAGAGGGGACAGGAAAGAGAAAGATGGAGAGGGATGCAGAGAGAGAGAGAGTGGAGGGGGAAAGAGAGAAGGAAGGAGGGAGAGAGAGGGCGAGAGATGGAGAGGACGGGATGGAGAGGGAGGATGGAGAGAGAGGGATGGAGGGGATGAGAGATGGAGAGAAAGGGATGGGGAGAGAGAAGGATGGAGAGAGAGGATGAAAGATGAAGAGAGAGAAGGATGGGGAGAGAGGGATGGGGAGGGAGAGGGATGGAGAAAGAGAGGGATGGACAGGGAGAGAAAGGGATGGAGAGAGGACGAGATATGGAGAGAGAGGGATGGGGAGAGAGAGAGGGAGGGATGGAGAGAGAGGACGAAAGATGGAGAGAGAGGGATGGAGAAAGAGAGGGATGGATAGGGAGAGAGAGGGATGGAGAGAGAGAAAGAGGGATGGACAGAGAGGGAGGGCAAGAGATGGAGAGAGGACAAGAGATGGAGAGAGGGATAGGGAGAGAGAAAGAGGGTGCGAGAAATGGAGAGACAGACAGAGAGGGAAACTGGTAGAATACATGTTTACAAGCAGGTCAAACCAGCAACCATTCTATGCCATACTCCCACACACATAGAAAGCTGGAAATAAAAGTGACATAGCATTTTGTTTTCTTTGGCTTGGTTTTTTTTGCATTTTGATGAAAGCTGGACATATAATGCTCAAATTTTTGCCAAGTCTTGCTGGCTCAGCCGAAATTCAATCAGTGTGCGGCCCTGTCAGAATCCTCCCCACCTCCACACACCAGTTTGAGAAAGTATAACTACAGAAATGTTACATGTGTCTGTATCATCTTCCACAGTATGTATATATACTCTTTTTTTTTAGTTTCTGGTAATATCACCATATAAA